TTTGCCTAAGTTTATCTCACAGCTGGATGGCTAATTTTCTGCATGTGGGTACACTTTATCTAGGTATACTGGAGGTCTTGGGAACTGGAGGGTTTTGAAAATGTAAGTAGACAGGCTGGTCAGTGGTTTTCAAGGCAACTGAGATTCCATGGACTCTCTTTGCCTTAGAGATCAGAGGGTTTTTTCAGGCTTTGTGCATTGTCCGTAGGTCAGACGAGTTGGCTGCCTCAGACCAGAGCATTCTTGGGCTTTAAAATATATGACCAAAAGGGCTACACAGGGAGCTTTTCTAAAGCAGACACAAGGATTATCCAGTTATATTGACAAGATGACAAAATACCAAGTACTGAAGGAAAAAGAATAGTGTTTCTTGACAGAGTCTCTATGTTGAAAACAATCAATGTATTTGAAAAAAATGGAAAATTGTGGCAATCCCATTCAAAGAGAAAACAAATGTACATAGATGTTGCTTACATGAAAGACCTCTAATCAAAAATTGTTTTTTAGTCATACACTCTGTAGAGATGGTTAAACAGTATGTGTCAAAGCAATTTGAACAATTTCAGGTGCAACAGAAATGAGGAATATTGCATCCCATTGCCACATGTAGATTTTCTGGCCTTTAACAGGTTGTTAGATAATGATGTAGTCATTCCCTCAGTGGGGTACTAATCCTAGTCCTCCTGACTGCCTGCTGTCATAAAACCTGTGAGAACTTAGTATCAGTGAGATGCCTCCTTTCTGCCAAACTTTACTCTAATTGACCAATGGGTTAAAAAATTACAGGAAATCATGAACAGATACAGAATATAGCTCCTTAAAACCATGTTTAAATATATCTAACCTGCTCAAACAGCCCCAAATCCCTAAATATAATGCCTTTTCCTATTGTTCTTTCTTAATGATAGGTCAGTAATTTTTCATTTGCAAGTTTTTTCTAAGAGGAAAAATAGTTTTCTCAGTAAAGTTATTACTTTCTTTCAGTGAACAGGAAATTAAGACTGATTTAGTTTCACATCCTTTGAATGTAAAGAAACACTTGGAAAAAAAATGCACTGTTTCAGTTACACTGAAACTGTGTGTGTGTGTGTGTGTGTATATATATATATATATATATTTTTTCTTGCAGTAGTATGTAGAAGTCTAACAAAGCTAAGCTATTTTCCTAAACACATAAGAAGAACTTCACTTGTAGTAGGAAGTAATATCTTTTATTAGCTGGATTACTGAGAAAAAGTAAAGAACTTTTCAGGCAAACAGATCTTTCGTGAACTTTTCCTTTTTTATGGCAACAGGATTTTCCAATCAGTCTAACTAAAAGCACTACTATACATCTGAAAATCTTCTGAAAAAGAGTTCCTAAAATGTTTTAGAAAAGCCAACAGAGAGCTCCAGTCACAGCTAGGACAGCCTTGTGACTGCTTCTGTAACATCTTGAGATGCTTCAGAGAAGCCATGGAGAAATATTGATAAATGAAGCCATCATCTAAATATTGAATCACACAAAATGATATCTGATGCTTTAACATCAGTTTGAAAAAAAATCCAGGAAGGTCAAGATGAGTAATAAATCAAATATATTACAAAGGAGCAGAAGCCAGTGTAATTACCTAACCAATCTCTTATATAAAGCAGACCATTGCATCTCTGACTTAATTCTTGTGTAAGAGACCAGAAATTGGATAGATCAACACTTGCTCCATTTAGGTCTGATTCATTCTTGCTCTTTAACTATTTCAGCTATAAAATACACTCCTAATCCCTTCTTCAAGCTTCATTTGGTACTTTCTTCCTTGATCCTTTCCTCAGGATTCATTTGGTATTTTCTTCAAGTAGAGGTGAGATAAAATCTCATTTAAGGTATCATATTGGGCAGAATAGTCTGGTCCAGTATAGCAACAAAAAATTAAAAGAAAAATATGAGTGATAGATTTTTCTCTGTACAAAATGTCAACTCATAATTTGTCAGTTTCTTCATTCATTACCTCTCTTTTAAAACACAGAACTTTTTCTCCTAGTACTTTCTGAGTTATATAAAACACTTTCATAATCTTTACTGTTTCTTTCTCCCCAGGATGATATTTAAAGTAATACACAATAACCTGAAATTGCAGAACTGCCTGTGATTAAGACTCAGGGAAATGTATTTTACTTGCTCTGAATTATCTCATATTTAAATAAAAGAACACTTTAAAGAAAAACAAAGCACTTAAAAATGACACATTTCTTTCTCCCTCAGTAATTTTCCACCTTCTAACATCTTAAATAAGGGAAGTTTGTACTTTAGCACAAACTTTCACAGAAAACTAATCAACAAAATGAATGCATTACTAGGAATAACAGCTCAAATTACCTCAGCAGGGTGGTTTTGTAACTATGTTGGTACCTTCATTAGGCAACTCAGGCTGAGCAGGATAATGTGTGTGTATACATGGGTATATCCAGATACAGATTACATAATGCAAGAGAAAAGTGGGCAGAAGATTGAGCCGTAAGAGGACATGAGATTCCAAGGGTGAAAATCCTTATTCAAGGGTATGTTTTGTTGGGATTCCCAAGATAAGATGAATTCCTTTCTGGGTGGGTAGGACTGGGTCTGCACAAAGGAGTCATCCAGGCCTGAATTCTCCCCTCTCTATATATCATAATCTCTCCTGTCGTCCTGCTGAAAATATCTTACAAGTGACTTCTCTTTTTTTTCCAATTTCCTTTTTGTTTACTTCATCTGCCCTACTTCTCAGCTTTCACTCCAGACACCTATTCTCCAGGTTTTTCTGTTCCTGTGTTCTCATTCTTCACCAATTTCCATTTCTCAACCTGTAAAATCAAGCTTCCTGCCTTCTTTGTTTTCTGTTTATTTTTTTCTATGTCTTTGTGTTCCTTCTTTTTGTTTTCCTCCCATTCTCTCTTTTGTAGTACTACTCCACCTAAGTCTATTTTACTCTTTCTTCCTAATCTTGTCTGGAGTGAACTTTCTACTCTACCAGCCTTTCCTGTGCTCACCCACCAGCTTCTATATAATTTCCAGTCAATTTTTGCTTTCTTTAGTAATTTCCTTTCCCTGCCTCCTGGGCATGCAAGACAAACTATTCACTTTCAGAAGCAGAAAACAAGTAGCAAGCCTACTGAAAAGTCCCTAAGACAAGACAAGTAATAGTTGTTGCCAGCATCAGTGGAAATAGCAGAAAGGCAGTCTCACAGGGAACAGGGGGTGTAGTCTGGGGCTCCTCCTGAGATGCCATCGTACTGCTAGCAGTGGGAGAAGCAAATAACTTTCCTTTGGGAGGGAGGTGACAGCTGGAGCTTTGCTAAGAAATGTAGACTTTAAACAAGAAGGAAAACAAACTTCTCGTTGTGCTTTAGAAAGACATACATGGAATCTCATTATTATTGCCTCATAAAGAATATACTTAGAGGGTCTCTTAGCATTACCCTCTTGACCTACTGACTCAGCAGTATTCACAGATTGGAATGTCACCTATCTGGCACTTCAAATGCTGTTACTTGAAATAATTTTTGGATTCAGGCAAACACAGAAGATATCTTGCATCGAAGGTACATGTTTTTTTTATATGGGAAATTAGTTTGTAGTGTACCTGGTGAGACATTTTGTTCCAATTTACTTTTCTAAGTCCCACTAAATTTATTTGGAAAGGTTGTGATTTCTCAGGGAAAGGTGGTTGTTTCTTCACTCTCCTCACTCTCAGTGCACTTGCCTGTTAATTGCTTCAGTAGCAAATGGCTTCTCTTCAGAGGGGGATTCCCACATCATTCCCAGAAACAAGAGCTGTCTGCCTGGCAAATGCATGGGAAGCTGAAAGAGCCACTTCCAGCAGGAATGCAGACATGGGAAGGAAAGCACTGATAAAGGAGCTACCATAAAAGGAGAGCACTCCTTTACATCAGTCTTGAAGCCTTAGATTAGTGGAAGAAATACTAAGGGTACTCCACTGACAGTAAAGGCATATTTAGTTTTGCAAAGCATTTAAGTGACTGCTGGGTGTATTTTTCTTTTATTTGCTCTGTTTGCATTTATATACAGACAATTATATTTGCTCTTGCTGTCATGTTGGGCTTGCTACCTCAGTAGATGTTGCCTGCCTGAGCCCCTCTCCGTGTGTAACACTGATTAGTCTCGGTTTTTCCATACAGTGTTAAATCCGTAATGGCAACTGACCATGTTAATTTCCCAAGACAATGTAAGGTCTGCAAGAATGAGCTTGAAAATATTTCATAAATAGTTCATAGGGTTTTGTTTTGTTTTTATTTATTTAAAGCGAGTACAACATTTACAGCTTTTTTTGGTACTAATCTTTTCATGTAGATGTGCTTATAGTGTGCTCTGTAAATATGAATGCAGTTTCTCCTTGGTAGGAGAAATCTTTAAGGCCCTAGGAAAATAGTAGTACTTTCTCCATATCTACATTATACACATCTCTTTAAAGAGCAGAAATGTATGTCTCTATGTTTAAAAAATTAATTAGAAACTGCACAGGAAATTTTCCTGTTGATTTCAACTAGGTAACTGTAATATATATTTATGTTACCACTGGATATGTTCAAAACAGAAAGATGTAACTGGTGTAATTTTTGGAAACATAAGGCTCACATAATTTCATCACCTAATATAGTTACTGCAACAGCCAATCTGGTTCTCAAGCAGTGTAAGACCGGTATAATTTTTACCTTTCTGCCACACTGTCCCCTTAAACGCCAGTGGGAATAATAAATAATGTGAAAAGTAACATCATTCTTCAGAAGAAGACAGCCTTTAACCTTAGACATACAAATAGAAATACAAGTCAGACTGCATTTTTGTTTCAATCACTTCACTAGAAACAGATGAAAATATGTTATAAAGTAAGTATACAGAGACAGAAAAGTCCCATATGAGCATAAAGAAATGCTTTGTTAAGAATGCAGAACATATTTGTTTCAATGCTCATCATATTGAACATATTTGTTGACCATTAATATCATGATGTTTCCTTCCCATTTAGGAGATTGTCAACTTCAACTGTCGGAAGCTGGTGGCTACAATGCCTCTTTTTGCTAATGCAGACCCAAATTTTGTGACTGCCATGCTAAGCAAACTGAGATTTGAGGTGTTCCAACCTGGAGATTATATTATCCGAGAAGGGGCTGTGGGTAAGAAGATGTATTTCATTCAACATGGTGTTGCTGGTGTCATCACCAAGTCCAACAAGGAGCTGAAGCTGACAGATGGCTCTTACTTTGGAGGTGAGTAGGAAAAAATGAATGACAGCACTGGAGTGAATGCACTAGAACAGAACACGTACATAAAAGACGAAAAGAGATTTCTGAATAAGTTAGCTAAAAGTCATCACAATTCAAAATGCAGTGAAGAGTGTACAAAATATTTCTGAATAAAACATTCAGTTGTTGTGAGGACAGATATTACAAATGCAGAATGACCTTCCAGAATTTTGAAGTTATTTTGAATTAAAATAGCTGTTATTTAACAAGAAAATATTTAAACAAAATATGGTAATTTGCATAGTAATTTTATAGCTTTTAAAAGGTAAAATTTATAGGATTAATCCTTAAAAAAGAATACAATTTTTTGAGTCATAAATCTAAAGGTAAAAATCATAGTAGGAATTGCAAAATTAGCAATGAATAGAAGAGCATTATATGAATGGGATATTTTGTAATTCATTAATATTTCAAGATGTTATTAGTGCTTTTTCAGTGAATTTTAGCACACATCAATGTTTATCCTTCCAATATATGCTATGAGAACCTGGACTTCCTATCTGACTAGGCAGCTCTCTAACAGATGTACATTAATAAAAATCAGGCATTCATTTTAATCCTAATTAAATGAATCTGGTAATCCTAATGAAAAATAGTTACTTGCTTAGAAGAAGGCATTAGAATATGTATAATTTGATGAAAGCAATTGCTTTTCTTAAATATAATAATTGATTATTTAAAATAGTTGTTCCCTGTGACTGTAAATCATCCTTGTGCACTAGAATAGGTGTCTGCTTCCATAAGCAGCAGAAAGGCTGCTTTTCAGAAGCTGCTTGAATATTTGTGTGTGTATCACTGCTGCCCATGAGAGTTACATTTAGGGGTCATTGTCTTAATTTGCAGTTGGATTCTATGAATGGTAACATAGCTGACCTGAAAGCCTTTCGGAAGATACTCAATTGAAAGCCTAACCAGTGCCATTTAGTTGGTATACAACAGGGGGAAGCTAAGAAAAGTGAATTGGGCTCAGCGTTTCAATTGGGCTATAGAGTTACTTAACTAATCCCATTTTAGAACAATACGCTAAAGCACCTCCTACTGATCTGGCCAGAAGACCTTGTCACTCCGAAGTAGCCTCTGCAAGGTGATTTGTATCACCAGTATTTGTAGAAGCACTTTGGTAAAGAGGTCTTGTGCTTATCCCACAGGATTAAACTGTAGATGCTGAAGACAGGAGATTAAGCATAAAGAAAAGGTAAATGCTGAGGATGAAGAAACAGAGCAACCTTGGTCTTGGTCTCCTCTATGCTTAGTAGTGCCCTAGTTTATGAAAATGAGTTTGCAAGAGCCTGCGTGCTGAATCTGGCCATAATACTCCTCTGAACCAGCAGAGGATCAGAGGAGATTGCACATGAAAGTATTTTACATAACTGTCAGGCTGTTGTTGCAGTGCAACTATTTAGCTCATCCTGTTCAACTGCTACCCTTCTTAACAGGAATGAAGACAAAAAAATAAGCTACTTGCAAGTAGCCAGACACTACAGGAACTTACTACACTGCATACCAAAGCACTTTTGCTCGTCCAAACTGCAGCTGGGATGAGACAGGTGTTGGAAAAATGGGTTGTCATGCCTCCAAAGCCTGCTGGGGCAAACAGAAGGCAGTAGCTGCTGCTGTAGCATGGAGGGGTGAGGAGGGATGAAAAAAAGACAAGTGCACAGGGAGAGAGAACCTGAGATAGGAAATGTCCCAAGATCAAAAGTGGTGTGGCTCAGCTCAGTGTGTTTTGTAGCAAAACACCATATATTGTGAATTTCCAGAAGTGTATTTCCAGCTGGGGACAAGAAAGATCTGTCTGGATCAGAGGAGCTTGGATGCCCTATCCACAGATGTGTTCGAGGCCAGTCTGGATAAAGCCCTGAGCAACCTGATCTAGTGAATGGCATCCCAGACCATGGCAAGGGCGTTGGAACCAGATGATCCTTAAGGTCCCTTACAACTCAAACCATTCTGATTTTAAAATTCTGTGACTGCAGCTGAAAAGAGAGAAAACAAGCTGCAAATCAGATATCTGTGAATTGAAAAGGTTTGGATTGTCAAAGCAGAAAGTAAAAAACAGTTCTAAAATTCTCATCTCTCTGGAGAACACCCACTTTCTCTGAAGTGTATATCAAAAAAAAAAAAAAAAAAAAAAAAAAAAAAAAAAAAAAAAAAAAAAAAAAAAAAAAGGAAAATAGTAAAAGCTTCCTGACAAAAGCAGACACAAGGAATATTGCATAGTGATGAAATAATAAACTGGAAACTGGAAGATCAAGGCTGCATTCAAATCCTAAAACCAATAATCCCTTTTTTGCTTAATGGACACAAGAGAAATCTTAAGCTGACACTATGTTTAAGATGCTACTTGTAACAACAGATCTGTATAGCTCTCAGGTATGACACAATATATCAACACCTGTGCTCCCAAAAGCAAGTAGAGGGCACACAAGTGACAGGGTGCCGTGCCTAAACAGATCCTTTTTCAATTTTTAAATGTCTTATGTTTTGAAAGTTCCTCGTCCCAGCTCAGAGATGCTAACTTCTGTCTGTCAGGTATGCCCCAGAGCTGAGTTACCTGGGGACCTTGGCTCTGGAGAGATTCATAGGCTCACCTGCAGAACAGTGGAGGGTTTCACCAGCATCCTGCCTGGGATTTGGAAAACCAAACTCTTTATATGTATAATACTTCTGTGCTAACAACATTATATCAGGGAAAAGAAAATAGGTAAAAAAAACTTACCAGTGAAAAACAATTGCCCTTAAGTTGTTGGAGAACTGGCAATTAGTGTGAAAGCCAAGACTGAAGAGGAACCAAAGCAGAATCACAAGTATTTGGGAGTGACTTGAATGGAGACTCTTGGGAGAACAAAAGCCTGGCAAACCAAAACTTGCAGTAAAAAAGAGGAAATATCCTGAGGTTTGAGGACTGATGTTGAACATTTAAATTCTCCTGCCTGATCTTTGTTTTTAATTAAAAACAGGCTTAGATCTGGTTTAATAGGAAACTAGATAAACCTTACAATTGGCTGGTAATTCTTCTCAAAAAGAATATGCCTGGATAACCACCAGTGAAATAGATGAATCAGACTATACCTCCTCTGCTGTATGCTTTCTGTTCATTTTTGAGGGACTTGAAAAGTGGTGACAATGGAAAGATCTGGGCTTGGCTGCTGCCTGCTTCCTTCCTCATCTGCACTCACTGGTTTTCTTTTGGGAGGGAAGAAGTAAATACAATACTGTAACCACAGAGATCTTCTGGTTTATTCCTTGGTATTTCTGTGGGAAGAGCATTCTGTCCCTTGACCTTGATGTGTGTTCATAAATGTAATCTTCTTGAACTTTGTGTGCCGGAGCATTGCTTAGCCCAGCAGTTTGTAGGATGCTCACTTTCACCCCAATAGGTGTGTTTTTTTTCAGGTAGAAGGACATTATCATCCTACATATCTCCTCCAAGCTGTAGTAGGAATTTGTAAAGCAGTTTCTGGTACTACTATCCTCTTACCATTTTGCTGGAATTTGTAGAGAACAGTAACTTTTTACTGCCTCACCTTACAAACCCTGTCCTCACATGGTATGCTCATGTGAATTTTTATAAAAGGGACAGGAATTAGACATGGAAGACATGAAACCAATTTTCACTATACTGTGCAGTTATATAGTCATTTCTACATTAGTGAAATTATGTATTTTCACACTTATCAGTGAAAAGTCATGGGATTTTAATACTCTATAGTGGCTTGTACTGGATTTGTTTTTAATTGAAATATACATATATATATATATATATATATATATATATATATATATATTTGTTTTGATACATCAGTGGATTTTTTTATGTCCTGCTTCATTTATTACTCTGTTTTATAATAGTTCCCCATTATTAGAAATTTTGCTCCTAGTTCCCCATTATTAGATATGGCATTGCTGCCACTATCAACATAGCAGTAGATGCAATTTTTCCTTTTACAAGTACAAGAGAAACTTCTCACACTGACAGCTTTTGTATGGGAGGGAATAAGGTTGCCTTCAATGGAAATTACCATAGAATCATAGAAACATAAAATGGCTTGGGTTGAAAGGGATGTTTAACACCATCTAGTTCTGCTCCCCCCACCATGGTCAGGGACACCTCTCGCTAGACCAGCTTGCTAAGAGCCCCATCCAAGTGCTCATCCTTGAACACTTCCAGGGATGTGGGCATCCACAACCTCTAGGTAATCTGTGCCAGTGCCTTACCACTCTCACTGAAAAGTATTTTTTCCAAGTATCTAATGTATCTATTCTGTTTCAGTTTGAAGCCATTTCCCCTTGTCTTTTCACCACATGCTCCTGTAAAAAGTCTCTCTCTGTCTTTCTCGGAGACTCCGATCAGGCCCCAGAGGATCTCAATTAGGTCACCTCTAAGCCTTCTCTTTTCCAGGCTGAAAAAAACAGTTCTCTCAGCCTTGCTTTATAGAAGAGGTGCTCCAGCCTTCTGATCATCTTGGCATCCTCTGGATTTGTTCCAATAGGTCCAAGTCCTTCCTTTCTTGAAGAGCCCAGCTCTGGATGCAGTGCTCTAGCTGGGTCTCAGCAGAGCAGAGCAGAAGGGCAGAATCCCCTCCCTCCCCTGCTGCCCACGGGGCTCTGGATGCAGCCCAGGACACGTTTGGCTCTCTGGGCTGTGAGTGCCATGGCCAGGGCATGTCCAGCCTCTCACCCACAGCACCCCCAGGTCCTTCTGGGCAGGGCTGCTCTGGGTCTGTTCATGCCCAGCCTGTGCTGACACCAGGAGTGTCCCAAGGTGCAGCACCAGCACTTGGCCTTGTTAAACTTCATGAGATTCCCATGGGTTACTTCTTGAGCTTGTCCAGGTCCCTCTGGATGGCATCCCATCCTTCAGGAGTGGCAACCACACTGCTAAGTTTGGATTCATCAGCAAATTTGCAGAGGGTGCACTAGATTCCTTCATTTATTTCATTAATGAAGACTCTACATAAGAC